CCCCCCGACCCCCGACCAGCTGCCCGGCCTATGTGGGCGCTCACGTCTCGGCACTGGCACTGTTCTCTGTCCTCCCCCAAGTTGCTGGTGGACGCCTTGGTGGCAGCCACGTTGGCGGCCTTGGAGCAGGCGCTGAGGTACAGCTCCATGGTGTCCTCGGCGTCCTCCCCTCAGGCTTCCTCACTCCCTTTCGCCCCTCCGCAGTCCCGACAGGACCGGGAATGACCGGTGCTGGCTGCCCACGGGCCCCCGAGCCCGCGCTCCGCCTGGAATTGAGGGTGCCGCCAGGACCGTTGGGTGTTTGCGTCGGGGCTCCGGCTTCGGAGCGGAAGCTCGTCCGGTCCCCGCCGTGACTACGGCAGGTGAACGTGCTGGACTCCAGAAGAACCGCAGGCCTCTGGCCACCCAGGCCGCTGGTGTGGAGCAGTGCTGGATAGCTGCATAGGAACTGAGCGCCCAGCACCTAGGGTTTCCTCCAGAAAGTCCCAAGTGCTCCTGCCTTCGGGCCACGGCCTGGCTTTCTCCAGCTGACCTCCCAAGCCCAGGCTCCCACTGCTGTCCATTTGCTGTGGCATCCCTTCTGTTTTCCTTTCCAGCCTCCCTCCTCTTTCTGTGTCCTCTGCCTTATCCTACTTCCTGTTGTCCTCAACTGTCCAACCAAATTTCCTAGTTCTCAGTTCCTTTGAGCCAGTGGCTGGACAGGGTGGAGCACCTTAGTGTCATACACACCTGTCTTTAAGCAGCTGAGTAAGGGAGTCTCTCTGATTTGTCAGGAGTTCGACCCTTGTTTCCAAAGGTTCTTTGACCCAAGGTGGTTCCTTCTGAGACTTTAGAAATGCTATCCCTTTGTTGAAAATTTATTAAGTACGGATACTAAATACTCTGTTAAATATTAAATCCTTATAACAGCCCTGTCAGTTTTTTTTCAAAGATTAAGAAAAGATGTGATAACACTAAATAGTACATGCTTAAAACTGTTTTCTTAATCAGTGCATTCTAGTCTTAAAATTTCTTTTGATTCCAGTCATGTGCTTATGATTTTTTCTAAAAATCTGAGATTTGGATATAGTTTACTACCTGCTTTCCCCACAGATGTTCCATGAGCATCTCAAATTCAGTGTACTGGAACTTCAACACTCATACACACCAAAACAGGACAAAAAGGCTTATTCTTCCTGTGTCCATGTGTTTTAGTTTCATTTCTCTGTTGCTGTGATAAAGTACTCTGACCGAAAGCAACTTGGAGAGGAAAAGGGTTTATTTGGCTTACATGTCCTGATCACAGTTTCTCCTTGAGGGGTAGCAGAGTAGGAACTCAAGGCAGAAACCTAGAGGCAGGAACTGAAGCAGAGACCAGGGAGGAGTGCTGCTTACTGACTTGATCCTCTGGCATATGTTCAGCCTGCTTTCTTTCAACCCAAGGTCATCTGCATAGGGACTACACCATCCACAGTAGGTTGGACCCTCCCACATCACTCAACAATCAAGAAAATGTTTCACAGACATGTCGATAGGCTGAGGTTCCCCCTTCGTAGGCCTGTCAAATTGACAACTGAATCTATCCAGCACACTAATGGCAGACTTTTTGGTGTGTTTCTAGATACTTTCCTTTTCCTAAATCTCCATAATGTATTGATCCCTAAATCCTGATGATTGGCTCATTGAAGTTAATTGGTCCCCTCTTTTCACTAGGCAAACTCCCCAGTTTAAGTCATTTATCATTTGTTGGTAAGGGTCATTGACTTTGTCTTAGACCGTCTCCCTATTATTTAACTCAATAGTCTATCTTTAGTCACACAGATCTCTGATGACTGACTGACTGCTATCCTGCTTGGCTGGTAGTGGTGAACACAAACAAGAATGGCTTAGTATCTAATTATAAAATATTACAAAGAAGACAATTTAATATCAAAGAAAGTTGGGGACCAGAGACTCATACAAAACAAAGAGCATTGAGTCTCTAACTTCCAAGGTTTTACTCACAGGGATGAGGTGCTCTAAGCAGGTATTCAGGAACAAAGGGTAGGCAGATCAAAGGACATTTCTTTGCAGGAGCTCAGGAAACAATTAGCATCAAAGTACGGCCTGTTTGTAAGATACAAAGCAAAATGTTCACACAATAGAGTAAATAAGGAATAGTTTTGTATCTGTGTTTAAACAGAAGGAGCACTGCACTTTAGAACCTGGGTCTGCATACTTGCCTATTTGGCTCTCATTGTAGACACTGTTGAGTACTGGTGACTTTGCACAAGTAGTCAAGCATGCTTTCTGCAGAGTTCAGAGCAGTGGTGTCCAACAATTGACCATTCCTTTTGCATTAAAATTCTAGTTTTCCTCAGGAGAACTTAAAGAATGTGCTAGTCTCAGTTACTCAATCTCTGTTTTATTTAGTTTCTTATTGCTAACCTGGCAGACAAGTCTAGTGACCTAAATACTTCAACTGTATTACCTTATAGTAATGAAGGTCTAGTCGAAAAATGAATTTCACTAGGCTGAAACCAAGATGTTGGCAAGCTTGGGTTCTTTCTGGAGGCTCTGGGGCACATTTTGCCTTTCATCTTTCTGGCTTCTGAAAGATATCCCCTTTTCTCACTTCAAGTCAGCAGTACAGCATTTTAAAATCTATCGTTGACTCCGACCATCATCTCCTTCTTCTACAGTTAACAAACTTCTATAATTCTGAAAGGTCCAGGACAGATTATTTCTTTTTATCCTGAGCAGCAATTTTAGTTCTACCAGCAATCTTAATTCCTTCCTGCCGTGTAAACATGTTCTTAAAAGTCTTGGAAATTAGTAAGGAAACATCTTTGGGTTTCTACTACACTGCTTACCACAGCCCTTTTCTTCCTTTCTAGACACAACTCTTGATACCACCTCTCAAAATAGAGCCTGCAAATGGTACACAACTGTAGGGTTTGTTCCCTACTTAAAGCCTGCTGAATTAAGACTCAGGCTTTCTTCTCAGTCCAATAGACCTTTGCATTTCAATGCTTAATTTAGTCAGCCTTTATGCAAGCTCACATGTCATAATACTCAGGAAAACTTCCTGACATCCTAAACTTTTGATGAATTACCTTCTTTTGTGTATCTCTCCATTTTAGCATTCTCACAATATATTGTGGATAACTATTTACAGGCCAGTCTCCCTTACTAGACCAGGCACTCCGTGGGGTCAGGAATTACCTTATTCAATTGCATATGTACAACAAGTAGCATACTGCTGTACTTAGTGAGCTCTAAGTATATTCATCTTGTCCTAACCTAGGTAGACATTAGTGAGAACCCCTAAAGAGTTTTAGCAAGAAGACTGTGACAGCAATATGACGGGAGGTGTCGATGAAGGTGATGTGGAGGTGTGTCTGAAAGTGAGTGTCATCATGATTTGTAGTCACATACAAAATGGATTTGATATACAGTTGAGACAAAATTCTCAAAATTCAGGGCTTTTCCTTATTTTATCTATCTTATAAAAAAATCAGAGATGGATTCCGGAGGGAATAAATAAGATAGGAAAGTAAACTAGTTCATCCAAAAACCTCTTCATATTACAAATGGGTATCATGTCTAAGGCCAGCAGTTGGAAAGACACATTAAGATCTGATGCTATTTAAATACAATAGAGATTTGCTTTCTTGGAAATGTTAGAGGAGTGTTTCTTAGTTTTATAAATTTTAAGGTGGTTTCAGAGTGTACTAATTGGACTTAGCATCATAACAAAGTATTGACAAAGTTTAGTGACTTTAAACAGTGGTTTGCTATTTTTCATATTTCTTTGGGTCGGCCAGCATTTGTTTTGGTTGGGGATAGCTGAGCCAGGGCTGCTTCGTCTAGGACTGACCCACTCATATGGCTGGGCTCTTTTTCATCCTCAAGGAGGATAAGCAACACTTTTTTTTGCATGGAAATCTCAGGGTTTACATTATCCAGAGGGAATAATCATTAATGTTTTTAAGTGTTTCTTTAGTATTTGGTAGCATCACTTAGTATCATAACATTTGCTCTATCTAATTAGCCAAAGCATATTACATGACCAAGTTGACATCTAGCCTGATCTATGTTCCTTCCACATTTAAAAAAACATATTTTACCCCTCTGTAGGCTATCTGAAGTCTCATTCAGTAATGGCATCAATCTTAAATTTTAACATCTTTACAATTATTATTATTTGGTATTTTGGGGGACAGGCTCTTCTTGTAGCCTCAGCTAGCCTGGAACTCACTATGTAGACCAGGTTGGCCTCAATCTCACAGAGATTTGCCTGCTTCTGCCTTCTGAGTGCTAGGATCAAAGGCTTACATCACCATGTCCAGCCTATATCTTTACAGTTATATCTATGCCACTAGATATATCTCTATTAATTTCAAGACCTACTAACTAAATATTAAATTGCTTTAATAATTTATAGATACGCAAGAAACTTAACCAAAATTTGAGGCTTAAAAAAAAATTCTCATTAAATCAAATGGTTTCTGCTCTTCAGGAATTCTTACAAAGTGCAGAGAATAGTTTTTTTCTCTGCTCCATGATGTTTACAAGTTTAGCTGAAAGATGTAAAGTCTAAAATATAGAGTCAGCTCCTTATGTTACCAAGAAATGCATTACTTGTTTTACATCTTACTTTAAGATCTGTTAGTGGGTACAAAAATAATTCCCAGTCCAGGGTTCATTATGCCTCCATTCTGAGTCAAGACCCTCCTGTCTACTCTAGTTAGAAGCTCATCCACTGGATATTTTCCAGTCTAATAGGTATTGTTTTTTAACTCCTGGTGAAAACCCAGCACTACTTCATTTTGAGGAGTTCTTCTGGCATCTGGTTATTTCCTCACACATTGTGTTTACAAATAGGCAGGGAACACCTAAAGATGATCCTTTGCACATCTTTGGAATTCCTGTACTATGCACATTTCTCCCAACTTTTCTGTCTCTGATATTCTAGGTCTTTTTGTCTCTCTGGGTTGTGGGCTCCATATCCTAGAATGAGGGAATGAAATAAGCTCCATCTGAACTCCCTTCCCTGTCATGTGATAGAGAAGCTCAGGTTGGTAAGCAAAGGCTTTTGTATTAATATCATTCCTTGATATATGGTGTTTTAAACCTAATTAGCCATGTATTTTGTGGGTTTTCAGATGTTTCAACTGGGCTACAATAT